GGTGAAACCCTGGCAGGGGTTGCCCAGAGAGGGGGTGGAGGCCCCATCCCTGGGAACATTCCAGGCCAGGTTGGATGGGGCTGTGAGCAACCTGATGTGGTTCAAGGTGTCCCTGCTCCTGCAGGGGGGTTGGGCTGGGTGACCTCTAGGGGTCCCTTCCAACCCAAAACATTCTGTGATTCTATGATCAACGGGGGAGAAGAGACGAGTCTGTCAGGAGCTGACATTGCTGCATCTTGGCAAGTGGCGCTGGGGGAAAGATGCTGGGTTTCTGTCGAATGACAGCCAGGCAGCTGCGGGGCGGAGGAGAATCGAGAGGGACCACGGAGTAGCAGATGTGGTAGAGGGAGGAAGTTCCCCAAAGTGCCGGCTGGAAGTACCTGGGGGGAGCACATCTGCCTGACTGCATGTGAGGAGAGCATCGGCTGCCTAGCGCCAGAAATGCTGCTCTGGATGCCGAGGTGGTTCTCCCAGCTTCCCTGGTGTACAGCCTTGATCAAGTCCGTGCTTCTCTTGCCGTTAGCCGTGTTTCTTTACAATCTTCAGCCTGAGGACTGATTCCACTGCATGCACATACAGCACCTTGCACAGGAGGATCATCGTCACCAAGGCATTTGGCCACTACTGTAATACCGCAGCACCGAAACATCTCATTTGATGGGTCACCAATGAGCTAACGCTTGCGTCTTTCACTCTTGTTTTCCAGTACAGCAAGGCACAAAAACCTCTTGAATCTTTGGGTGTGATTTCTTTCCTGACACACCAAAACTGGGGTTTGTGCCTCAGACACAGTGGTTGGATGTTATCACAAGCTACAGGGGCTTGTGGGAAGAGAAGGGTGGTGATATGGTGAAAGCATGGGGACCGGAGTAGTACTCCTAGTTCCATTTCCTTTATTGCTACAGATTGACTTTACCCTTTTATGGACTGGCAGAGATCTGAGATAAAATCGTGTGTTGCAGTAGTGCCTTACAGCCTAGGCACAAGGCCTTGTGCGTGAGGAGCTGTTGTCATCTCATTTACAGCGAGGGCCAGCGTTCTGGCTGTCCGTGCTGTCTGTGCTTCAACCAGGACGAAAGCCTTTGCTTCTAAGCCAGTTGGTGCAGCCGACGTGTGCCCAAGCTTCTTGGGCTTCTTGCCTTCTGGAACAGACTGGTTGCATCCATGTGGCACAGCAATAGGGCTAGATCTTTTCTGTGCCCTGTGTTACCTACCCATGGTCAGAAAACACATAGGACCTTGATTTCGGTAATATTTTTTATTTCTGTTGAGATCTGCAAGAAAGAATGAAATGGGGGTGTCATCACCCTGCAGGATGCTGTATTTATACTGTGACATCCAGTGACATGAGTGTATGCCTGCTTTGGGAGGTGGTGTAAAGACGCACATGAAGGGGAGCAATTGAAGGCATGAAGCTTGAAGGACAACTCCAACACCGGCTACAGGCACAGAAGGTCAAGTCTGGTGCACCTCCCTCCACACTGCCGGGGAATGCACTCACCTCTTTGCTGGAGGAACCCAGTTCTCTGGCTCCAGAAGAGAACTGGACGCGAGCTAGCACGTACACTGTGGAGGATAAGGGGACCGTGGCTTGAGAATGAGCCAAACATATGTTGTAGAGGTGTGGCACAGCCCTGCGGGTCGAAGGGACAGGCTGCTTCCTTGTGCTGTGGCTCCCTGTGGTTTTCTGCCCTCTGGAGTGGGTAGCTGAGGGCTCTTGCATGCCCACTGTTCAGGCTGTGCCGCAGAGCCAAACGTCTGCGGCTGGCAACAAGGAACACCGCTTCTCCGTGCAGAATGGGACGTTAAGGCAAAGCTCCTGTAAAGCAGTCAGTCCTCTGTGTGGCACGTGCAGGGGATTCCCCTTCTCCCAAACAACTGTCCTGTGCCCTGCCTCTTCCTTCTCTACCATACCTCTTGTCCTTGGGCTGCCTCTCCCTTCCCCAGTGGGAAATACGGCA